GTGATTCTGCAATCTGCATTTGGGGTAAAAAGTGGGAGTTCATAACCCACTTGAATCTAATGTATGAAATATGATATGTCAAGAGCTTTGTAATGTTTTGAACAACCAATAAAAAAAGAGACTGGGAAAAAAAAGAAAGGGGATTGAAATGGAGCAAATTATATTCCAAACATGTATGATAACATCAAAATGAATGCCAATATTATATATAACTATAATACACTAATAAAACATTTAAAAAGAAAATTTTAAAATAATTTTTTCAGCGAAAATTTTCTTACTCATTTCCCAATCCCACACTTCTATTAATATGAGAGAAATCATTTGCCTAAGGCTATGAACACAGAAGCCAGAGTAGAACAAGTATAATGGTAACGAAAGAATAAGAATTGATGAAGATTTGACAGCGTGGCCCAGGCTGGACGGACATATGAAGCCTGCAAATTGTCATTGGGGTAATCTTACAGAGATAGATTGATGATAGAGAAAGGAACATTTATGGTTAAAAAAAAATGTATCTGAGGATAAGGAAGGAATGACTTCAGAGCACAATGGAAGGATAAGTAAAAGCCATCTCCTCCTCCACTAGAACAAAAGGGAAGGAGGAGAAGGCAGGTCTATAGATTTAGCAGTAAAAAATTGAAGGAGTTATGTAAAATCCACATGAGCTCAGAGTGTTATAGAAAGTGTTGATCAGCTTGGCTGAAAGGACAAATAGGTAACTGTGGTCAGAGTATAGATTTCTAGATTCAAGATTTCAGAACAGTTTGAATGACAAGGTGAAACCTATTGAGGGGCCTAAGATACAGCTGAGGTCAATGGTATTAAGAAATCAAATAAATGAGAGGTCAAGGTATTAAATGATGTTTCCCTTATGATGTTTCTTGTGGTAAGTAATGGAGACCCCAGCTTCAGTTGACTTAACATAAGGGAATATACTAGCTCACATACCTGGAATTCCAAAAACAAAGTGGGATTTTAAGTTGACTCCAAATGTTTCACTGACATTTTCTCAGTATTTGCTCCCTACATGTGTTGCCATCATCCTCAGTTGAATAGAAAGTAAAAATCCAGAAGTAGAACAAGTGAGACTTCTGAATTTCTAAAATATTAATTTGAATTATGAATCAATCCAAGTCGTGCATTGTTATCCAAACATATTTATCCAAAAGTTCCTTTTCTGGGAAAATTCRTAGGTCACCTCAGTCTTAGCAAGGGTTATTGAGCATACTATTCCCTACAAATGTCAAAATCCACAAATTTTTAAGTTCCTTATATAAAATGGCTTATGATTTGCATATAAGGTAGGCACATCTTCCTGGGACATGTAGGTATGGCAGTTGACTGTATATTGTCAATGACAAAAAGGAATGCAGACATAAGACTGCTAAAAAACTAGTTAATGACTTAAAGRCAATAAAGTCTTAACCTTTGAGGTTGTCTTCACTTTGGGAAACAGAAATCATTTGCATATAATAGTTTTCTTTTTTTTTAATATTTATTTTTTAGTTTTTGGTGGACACAACACCTTTGTTGTATGTGGTGCTGAGGATCAAACCCGGGCTGCACGCATGCCAGGCGAGCGCGCTACCGCTTGAGCCACATCCCCAGCCCATATAATAGTTTCCTACAAGTTAACATCTATCTCTACAGAGTAAAYTCTAAACAGTAAATATTTGATCAAATTAAGTTATATTATTTTGAAAAGTCAGATAACCCATTAGGCAGAATTGTTACAACAATACATAAAATGATGTTAAAAGTTTTGAACAAATTTTCTTAGTACTTGTTATTATTTTTTTAAATGTTTATTTTTTAGTTGTAGTTGGATACAATATTTTTATTTATTTATTTTTATGTGGTGAGGATCAAACTCAGGGCCTTGTACATGCTTGGTGAGCGCTCTATCACTGAGCCACAACCCCAGCCCCTTATTATTACTTTTAGAAAAACAAGTTCTGAGGAAATAATGTTCACATAAGTACATTCATGGAGATGGGAAAAGTTTCATTATTGCAATGACATTAAATTCTTTGAACTCTTTTATGCCCCCAAATCAGTGGTCTAATATTAAAAAACATATCCCTTGATAATTAAATTAGGTCCTCTTTCAACAACATTGTAAACAAAGAAATATAAAGCATCCAATTTGCAAGAAAATTTGTTACTTGTTCAATAGAGGCATTCTAAGTATATCACAAAAACTTACTAAATACTTAAAACTACATCTCAGACTTTTTCACTTGCCTTAGAAGTTCCTTGTATAACCCAAATTCCTCAGAAAGATCCAAGAAAATCTTTGTAGACATGCTTTGATAAAATGTATTTACATTTTGTGCTTTAAGCAAATTTTAATCAAACATTTGGCTTTCTTTCAATTTATCAGGCAGTCTTACATATTACCAAGTAGCCAACCACATTTCACTGTTTAACCAATTTAAATCAGACTGTCTCTAAGAACAACTTGATTTTAGAAAGTTGGAATAAGCAGGGTTAAAAAAAAATTATTTACTTTGCAGTACTGGGGATTGAACCAAGGCCTTGCATATGCTAGGCAATCGCTCTACCACTGAACTACATCCCTAGACTTGAATGAGTATTTTAAAGTCAAATGTATAAATTACATGATAAAATGCTCACGTTTACAGTTCAATGAATTTGCACAGTGTGTACACCTGTGTAGCCATGTCATCACCATAAAAACTTCCTCCTGTGCCTTTACAGTCAATCCATCTTCAGGCCCATTCCCCCAATGCCAGATGTGCACTCTCACACTATTGATAAGTTCTGCCTCTTTTATAACTTCATATAAATATATATWTTTTTTAAATTTATTTTTAGTTGTAGTTGGACACAATACTTTTATTTATTTTTATGTGGTGCTGAGAATCGAACCCAGGGCCTTACACATGCTATGTGAGTGCTCTACGTCTAAGCCCCAACCCCAGCCTCATAAATATACTTTTTTTGGGTACCAGATTGAACCCAAATGTGTATCCACTGAGTCATATCCCCAGTCCTTTGTTCTGAGACAGGATCTCCAGAAGTTGCTTAGGGCCTTGTTAAGTTGCCAAGGCTGGCTTTGAACTTGTGACTCTCCTGCCTCAGCCTCCCAAGCTGCTGACCTTTGTTTTTACTTGCCTTTCTTTCTTTTCTTTTTCTTTTTTGTAGCAAGACCCCATGTCAAAAAAACAAACCCCCAAAACAAAAAACAAGTGTAAGAGAAGAGCACTGGCTTCAGGACGTGGATGGTGAAAGAGCAGGAGTCCTTGGTTAGGACTCCTAGAGCAGGCCCTCAAGGTTAGTTTTCTTTTCTTTTTTTTTTTAAATTTACTTTTTAGAAGTAGTTGGACACAATACCTTTATTTATTTATTTATTTTTATGTGGTGCTAAGGATCGAACCCAGGGCCTCGCACGTGCTACACTAGCGCTCTACTGCTGAGCCACAATCCCAGCCCAAGGTTAGTTTTCTTCCTGAAGTGGTTTCCCTCCCTCCCGCCATTCTCCAATAATAACAAAAAGGCCATCACAGCACATTTCCTTTTAAAGTTTTATTAAAGTTTAATGAACAATTAATATTTTATCTTTTGGGGGGGATTAACCCCAGTACAAAAATATCATTGATGATTTGACAAAAATGGCTCCACCTAGGGCTTGAAGGTTTGAGTTTCTCCAACAGTAACAAGGGAAAGCATGCTTCCATCTGGGGCTCGGTCCAAGCACATAGTCATTCCTGCACACGCATGCACGCTAACAGCCTGAGCAGGAAAAGAGGAAGGAGGATGCAGGGATTCAGGAAGAAGCCCAAGATTATTCCCAGGAGAAAAAGATAAAAAAACAGGCTGGTCTCCTTGACAGTGGATAGAATTACTGATTTACATTTAGGATTTACTGTTTTCTTAAAAATTGCTATTCCGGCCATTTTAACATTGTAGAAAAGATGCTACTAGTCTCTTTCACCGCTAAGGTGAGTAAAGCAGGAGGAAATGGGAAAAGACTCAAATACTGAAGTGTAAGTGAGGTATTAACCTCCAAGTGGCTCAAGTTCTGTGTCAGGTTTCATTCTTTACATTCAAAGACAGATGGACATTTAGGTGACAGGGAGCAAAAGAAGCAAGTCTGCCACACTGCTGGATCCACAAACAATCAGACCAGCTTCTTTTAACAGATCTCTTCCACAGTGAGAGAGCTCCTTCCAGTGTAGGAAGAAAAAAGATTTCCTGGTCAGTTTAATTGTTCTGGGCAATTCTTCAATATTCCCTCCTCTGCTGCTTTCCTTCCAGAACACTATTTTTGATGAAGGAAGGGATATATCTGTGTTACAATTCATCTTCAAGATGTTTTTCTCTGAAGGCATCACCTGTCAGTCTTTCCTGAGCTTCCTTCATCCCCTGAACAACTGTGAAATAAAGAGGGGAAAAATATGAAGCACAACTTAATATCTGATATTTGACAACAATATAGATTCTTAAATGTTTTAGGAGAAATATTTAAGAACACAACTTGTGTACTTAACATCTAGTTTTGAATTTTAGTCCTAGCATATCATTCTTTGAATCTGTTTCCTTGTTTATAAAATGATATAATTCCACTTATTTCTACACATATTTTAAAAAGTGGATGATAGAAGTGCTTCATAAATTACAAAGTCCTACAAAAATGTTAGCAGTTACCCTGGCTTACCCTCTAAGATTAGAGTTGATTTCCTCTATGTTCACTTGATAATAAGGAGGAGAGAAGAGAACACCTTCCTACCAACCCCATTGTTTTTCGGATGACTGTTGCATTTATTTCATTCCCTGTAGAAATTACAGGTTACACTGATGATGGAGTATATGTATGCATATATGCATTCTGAGGGAATGGTCTCCACTGAAGCATGTAGTCATTTCTAGTATCAACTATACATGAAAGGAGCCAAGTTTTCAGGCAAAATAAAAGAGAAACCTAGAAGGAAGGCCTCAGGCAGACAGGAGATGAAATTTCTTATATATCTCAGGGCCTGTCTCCCATGGATTCGCACTTCAAGAAGGGCAACGATTTCAATATAGGCCTATGAGTGGTGGTTCTACAATAACACCCCTACACAACACAGGCTGGAAACTAGGTTGAGCCAGAGTCTGTAAATCTTGGAAAGCACACCCATTAGCTCCTAATATAGTGATATTTTCCTTTTGTCTTGCCTGTGTCTCTAGTTAAGACAGGTTTGAATGTTCCAGTTTCATGTCAGCTGAGCCACCAGGAACGCAGGGAAGAGTCTTGTGTTCACATTGGACTATGCCAGTGTGGAGAGGGGAGTGGTAACTTGGATAAAATTCTAAGAGAAGGCAAATCTCAAAGGACAAGAGTTCAGGACCTAAAGCTCAGCTGCCACTCTCTGTGTGGAAAATCTCCTTCTAACACCAATCTCTTAAGATCTTCATTTGGTTAAAGAATATGTTACTCTCCTTAACCAGGAAAAGGTGATGACAATATTTCCACATCTCTTCCCCTTTCCTATTCTGAGAATAAGAGTTTCAAGGACTCAAAAACAAAGTGATCCTCAACTTGTCAGTTTGATAATTGGGGACACGTGGCAACTTGGTAAACAATTCTTTTATAGATCAGGAAGACTAAGGGAGGAAAACAGTAACAAAATATGGCATGAAATCCAACCCTTCCCCTAAGATAACTATGTGCCAGAATTAGAGATCAAAAATGCCTAACTGAGATTATTTCAGCCTTCCTTTGCCTATCTATACTGATGCCACTCTGGAACATGCTTTTCCCATTCTTTTGCTGTGTCTCATTCTTCAGGACTCAATCCACTCACAATTTCCTCTAGCAAACCTTACAGACGCTCCGTGTTGGGCGATATCCCCCTCATACATCATTTCTATAGTTTGAAATGTCCTCCTGTTGTCTCTAGGGAAGGGACCATACTATCTTTCTCCTGTATCCTATAAAGGATCTGGCCAAAAGCTAGGCATGTAGGAGTTGCTTGGCTAACAGGTTAGATTAAGTTCCTATCACAGACCTTGCCCATTATGACTCATCCTAGTTAAATCTAGAGCAATCCTTCCCAATTTCTCAAGCAGAACAGTACCTTGCTCAGCATTGATGTAGAAATACTTGTAGCTGGGGTTTCCATTCTCATTGATGATTTCAGGATGCACCTTGCCACTAGGATCTATTGTAGAAAAAAGGGCACAGGGATTGCAATAATTTTAACATATAATACACTAGGCCCTCCAGGAAATAAAACCTCCCCATGTTTGCCTATCCTCCCCATGTTTCACCGCCCTATCCCTAACATTTCATGCTGTAACCACAATGAATTCCTTGCAATTCCCTGAACAATGCCCACCACCTTGTCCCATGCCTTGGCACATGCTGTTTCATCTTTCTAGCACGTTTTTTTTTTCTGCTTGGTAATGATGAGGCCAACATTTTTGTTGTATCCCCCATAGAATCCAGCCAAATATAAAGCCAAGATTAGGTGGTCACTAACTATCTCTTATAAAACTGTTTGTGGAAAGACATTTGCTTGGTTGTATTATTCTGTTGCCTCAGATGCACCATAGGGTCAGGAATGGGAATTGTGGCTTATCCTTGGCCCTGCAGTGTCACACATGGTGTCTGACATGGCTAATGCTCAAAATGACTGTTGAATGAATAAATGGAAGATCAAACTCCTCTCATTGCTCATAAAAGCAGTTATTGGAAAAAGTTTCCCCACAAACCTGCAGGTTTGGTTTTCAGAACTCTCTCTCTCTTTTTTTTGTACCGGGGATTGAACTCAGGGACCCTCAAACACTGAGCCACATCCCCAGCCCTATTTTGTATTTTATTAAGAGACAGGGTCTCACTGAGTTGCTTAAGGCTTCACTTTTGCTGAGGCTGGCTTTGAACTTGCGATCCTCCTGCCTCAGCTTCCCAAGCCTCTGGGATCATAGGTATGTGCCACTGCGCCTGGCCAGAACCCCCCCCCCCACTCTTTTTTTTTTAGTTGTAATTGGACACAATATCTTTATTTTTATGCAGTGCTGAGGACTGAACCCAGTGCCTCACATGTGAGAGGCGGGCACTCTACCACTGAGCCCCAGCCCCAGCCCTGGAACTCCTCTCTCTTAAAATTGGTTTTTATTTGTTCTTGGACATCCCAGTATAGTTTCACAACTATATATATACTTCGGTCTCTTGCATCATTTCTCTATCTACATCATGAATCCCCTAATTAAAAATTTTTGCCTTACCCAAGAAAAGAATTCGTGGAATATAACCCCCATCAGGGCTGAAATCTTCATCCTTGGGTTCTTCTTCATCCTATTAAGAGTAAATGTAAACCTTACAGCAGATCATGTCCTCCCTCTCCTCAAGGACCTTCAGATTCCTCTCTTGTTCAGGACTGCAAGGCCCTACATGATCTGCCCTTGGGACACTTCTCAAACTTCATGTTCTACCCTGTTAAGACTTCTTCAGCCCCATTAATCTGCTTTTTGTTGGTGTCATTCAGCAAACCAGATATGCTCCTAATTCAGGCTTTTGGACTTGCTCTTTCCCTATGTCTAAACACACTTCCTTTGTCATCAGACGCTCACTCCTATTTCTGCTTCCAATTTTTACTCAATGTTGCCTTTTCTTCCATTTACCTAGAATTGCAAGCCATCTTCTCCTTTATTTTGGCGGTAGCATTTACCACAGGCTGACATATTCTACTTGTTTATCTCCCCACACTACATTGTAACTGCCTTGAAGAGATACGTAAGCATCTGGGCTATCCATTAACTATATAAGCAACTCCTCTGCTGTCTCAACCTTAAGTGTTAATGTGTTCAGAAGATTCTTAATCCTATGGTTAAACATTATCTTTACAGAAACTTTTGGAAAGAAGTATCATCACAGAGTATCCAAGTAATTTCACACTTGGAGAGTATGATCTAAAAGGAAACACGGCTAGGTTATAGTACCTACTTTTTAAATTTACTAGATTCTACAATTTTGACCAAATCACATACCTTCTTCAGGTCTAAGATGTCCTTTTTGTAAAATGGGAAAAATACCAATGGCCTAAAAATTTCTTCCAAGTCTAAGATCTGATATTCTCTGACTCAGGATTCCTGAAGTCTATATGAAGTACATAAAAGACGTCTCATGAGGAAATAGGAAGACTGTACATAAAAGTCCAATTCTAAGCAGGTGCTCAAATGAGTAAACTTTGCAGGGTGTTGTAATCTTCATATGTGATTACATTTTTTAGTCTAAGTATAAAATTCAGTCATCTTATTCAAGCTCTCCTCTCTACTTCCTCCCCAAATTAGATGCTAACACATCTGATGTAAGCCTTAGTATGAGAAATCAAGATAAAAACAAACATAGGATAATCAACTCTATATTCAACATGACTTTATACTCTTACTGTTATTAAATCCAAAACAATAAAGTCTTAAAATCATAGCAAAAAAAGGAAAAATTCTTTAAGGCTTACCTCAAGATTTACCATAACAAAATTATGGGAAAGTTCAGAAATTTCTGTAGATTCTGCAAATTTGGGCTTTAAAGCTAGAAGGGGAAAAAAGATTTTGAGTACAAGAAACATCATACCCAAATCCCAATGAGCCTAAGCATCACTTATTCTCCTTGGTAGTTCATGAATTTGCTGATTCATATAAATTAAACCTTCTTTTTCTTCCCTCCAAAACCAGAACTACTGGAGCACCTAGATGCTGGTGCTGCTTCTGTCACTTATTTGCATGGCTGTGGCCTTGAGTGACTTACTTCATTTCTCTGAAGCTTTTATCTCACTTATAGAGTACGGATAATGATACACAAATAGCAGGAGGAAGCATCACTATTTGCTTTTATGGTTCAGTTCAACAACTATTAAAAGAGTAATAAGGTAACAACACTTTGCCACTAAATATGTGTGTGTACACACATTATACAATTATTTATGCTAATTTTACATTCCTTTCCTAACTAATATTTTAACTGTAGAATACCAAATTAAGAATAAAACCTGATTGGGAAAGGAGCAGGGTAGTATAGCAGAAAGAATTACATGCCACAAAATCACATAACCTTGGTTTGATTCTTATCTTCTCCAGACAACTTCCTTAACCATGTACAGCTTCCTCTAATATTTATTGCCACATGCCATTTTAGCATTTAATTCCATTTTCTACATAACTGTTGCTGCTGTTTTTCTTTTTTTGCAGTGCTGGGGTTGTACTCCACTACTGACCTACATCCCCAGTCCTTTTTATTTTTTGAGACAAGGTCTCACCAATTTGCTGAGATTGGCCTTGAAATCGCAATACTCCTGCTTTGGCCTCCTGAGTAGCTGGGATTCTGCAATACCACCCCTGGCTTATATAACTGTACTTTAATCACCTCAAGCTTCCTAAAGCCCCCTGCAGATATATAATTACAAATTTCATGAAGGAAATCTACATCATATATTCCTTTGGTGTTCCTTAAAGCAACCACAGTGCTGTGTAGAATCAGTGATAAGATCCGTTTTTAGATTGAGAGCATTTACTGACCTTTGCAAGCTCCACACCAAGACTTATGGATAATCACCATAATAGGCAATCCACTTAAAAACAAAACAAAGAAATTATAATCTAGTAATTGTACTTTCTCAAAGTATTCTAATAAAATAACCAATTTATGGAGATAAAGATGTTTCTGTAGTATGATTTCAATTGGTAAAATAATAAGACAATCTAAATATTCAATAGTAATAGATTTTGATAGCAAAACATTGATAAATTCTGATATTCCTGTAAATTCTGCAGATTTGGCCTATAAAGCTAGATAGAAAGACTGGAATGGAAGAAAACATCCAATTACATTATTTTAAAGGTTCCAGTAATTCTAAATTATTATCATGAAAAATAATCATTAAAAATGTAAATGAAAAATTTTGTTGGCACGTTAAAAACTGATATAAAATTTCTTTTTTAAAAAATATTTTTTAGTTATACATGGACCCAATATCTTTATTTTGTTTATTCATTTTTATGTGGTGCTGAGGATTGAACCTAGTGCCTCACATGTTCGAGGCAAGCGCTCTGCCACTGAGCCACAACCCGAGCCCTCTTCTTTTTAATATTTTATTTTTTTAGTTTTCGGTGGACACAACATCTTTATTTTTATGTGGTGCTGAGGAACAAACCCAGTGCCCCGGGCATACTAGGCTAGCGGTTACCGCTTGAGCCACACTCCCCAGCCCAAGATATAAAATTTCAATACGGTTTTAGTCAACTATAGAGCCCCAAAAGAAATGTATCAAAACATAATCTTGGGCTGGGGATGTGGCTCAAGAGGTAGCGTGCTCGCGTAGCATGCGTGCGGCCCGCATTCGATCCTTAGCGCCACATACAAACAAAGATGTTGTGTCCGCCAAAAACTAAAAAAMAAAMAAACAAACAAACAAAAAAAAAAMMCCCACATAATCTATAGATGAGACAGTGGATTTTTTTCTTACATTTGTGTATTTTTTCAATTTTCTTAAAATTAAATATTTTTTAAATCAGTGATGAAGAGTGTTTTTTTTTTTTTTAATTATAAGCAACAGAATCTACCTGAATCAGATTGGTTAAATGAAGCTCTTAAAAGTTTTCAGTTCAAATGTTAAATATGAGGGCCCTATATAGGCAGGCATTGGCTTACTTCATCATACAGCCTGTTATCACCATACCACCATAATACTATACAAGGTATAATAGCTATAACTGTATTTACCATATTGAACTCCATTGCACTAAGGAATTATTGATAACAAACACTTCTACAACATTTACTTATGCCAATAAATATTATCTAAATATACACAAATTAGCTCATTTAGTGATGAGTTACTCAATTACCTCACCTTATGCTCATTATAAACCTTTAGAGACGTGTGCCTCTAGTACTTGTAAAGACTTAAAAAATCATATAAGAAGGGCAAGTTTAAGTGGGTAGTGGGATGTAGCTAACCATAATAGCCAAAACATGCTAAACGTTTACTAGATGACATTGTACAATGTGCTGTACGTTCATTACCTCATTTAAATCCTCAAAACAACTCAAGGGTAATACTTTCAATGGCCTCATAATATAAATGAGAAAACTGAGACTCCCAAGAGATCAAATAGAAGCCCATGTAACCCACATTTTAAAGCTCCATTCACTTTCAGAGCATGAACATTCTAGAATGTCTTGCTCCCCCTTTTCTCTCTGGCAAACTCCTTTGCAAAGCCTTTCCCAAACTGCCTAGTCTTTCTCTTCTCTGGGATCCTAAAGCATTTGTCATCATCATCTGACCACCAGTCTTTTTCATCCCATTATCACCTATCTGTATTTCTCACAAACTTCTCAAGGGCAAAGACAGACTGGTTAGTCTTTGAAAAATCACAGGTACTGGGGCTGGGATTGTGGCTCAGTGGTAGAGCGCTCATCTAGCATGCACGGGGACCTGGGTTCGATCCTCAGCACCACATAAAAATAAATAAATGAAATAAAGGTATTGTGTCCATCTACAACTAAAAAATAAATGTGATAATTTATTATCACAGTTATAGTACTTAAATTTGTTCTAAGAAACCTACAAAAGAATGAAAGAAAGGCTAATGTGATACATATCTTAAAATACAGAATAAAGCACAACAGTCATTAACGTGACATAATACAGTCACTTTAGGGTGGCCAAACAATCTAATCTTTTACTGAGCATTATAAAAATACAATTTCAGGACTGAGGTTGTGGCTCAGCGGTAGARCACTCACGAAGCACAGGTGGGCCCTGGGTTCGATCCCCTATACCACATAAAAATAAAGATATTGTGTCCAACTACAACTAAAAAATATATAATTTCAGGGCTGGGGTCGTGGCTCAGYGGTGGAGCACTTGCCTAGCACATGCAGGGCCCTGGGTTCGATCTTCAGCACCACATATAAATAAATAAAATAAAGGTATTTTGTCAAACTATGGCTAAAAAATGAATATGTTTTTTGAAATAAGAGTTCAGCCAAAGATATAACAATAATGCGTGTTTATATACAATATTACACTAGATTACATGAAAAACATTTAGTTACATTAAATGAAAGAGACTCGAGCAGACTCACTACTTTTAAAATATTTTATTGGAGGAAATAACCTAGTGGTTATGTCTTTCGCTTTCACAAAATCAAAGATACTTAACGACCAAAAACAATGGGTTTATCAGTAAACTCAGTCCCAGGAAAAAGAAACTAGCAAAAATTGGTACTCAGAAAAGATTTGTGATATGAAAGACTGGCCAGCACAGAGTCTAGAACTATTCACAACTGTTTTAAAACATTCTTATCCATCCAGTCTCTTCACCCACTATTCAAATGGGAAGAGTCAATGGTATGTGATATACCAATCCAATCTAAGCAATCCCTGACCACTTGAGCTGTCTTCTCCGGAGAAATTTGCCAGGATTCTCTCTAGTCTCAAACTTATGCTGTAAACTCAGGGCCTGGCACAGGGGCAGTCAGGAAAGCTGGAACAAATCAGTAAGTTCAGCAGCTCCACTAATATAACACGCTTTGCAGACCTTCAGACTATTCTTCCTAGAGAACAGTGGAAGCCACGGATTCCCCCTACCGCTCTGATTAGTGCAAGCTCTGACCCAGATACTGAATAAACATATTGGCCAGTTGATGCAGGTTCTCATTGTTGGGATGCATTTTAGTATAGGAAATAAACTGGCGACGAAGGCGACTCAGTTCTGCCATGGTCAGGGGCCGAGTGAATTTTAGGTGCTCGGTGGTGCCTGGAAGTGTTAGCAAGTCCCCAGGCACAGCGCACTTCTGCGCTTCCATCAGTCTGGCCAACACCTGGCTTGTGACCTGATCCAACTGGTGTAGAAAGCTGCCCGAGGCAAGGGGCTGGGATTGTGTAGACTGATGTGGTGGGGGAGCCCGGTTCTCAAACAGGGCAGCCCGGATCTCCGCCAAAGGTAATGCCTCTTCTAAGCCCACCACAGTAAACAAAGGCCGATCCCAACGGTTCCGAGAGTCAGGAGTCTCAAAGCGCAGTGTTAGAGCCTGCATTAATTCAGGAGGGTAAAAGGCACTGGTCACATGCTTCACAGATTTCTCAGGCTCCGCAATCACTACAGCTGAAGAATCTGATGCTTCGGCTTCTTCCGGCTCCAATTCCCTAGGTCCGTGGGCCCCGGTTCTCCCATTTACTATAGAGGCCGGTTCGGTGATAGTACTGATGTCTGCAGGCTCAGATTTCCCGCCCTCCTCAGCGCGCGGCCGCCAACTCACATTAACTTTCGGGCCCGGGTWCTCTTCCGCGCCAGTCACCTCAGGTCCTCGGCTTGCACCTCCTGGCCTCACGCAATAAACCAGGCAAAGCGGCGTGCGCGCTGCCCGCGCTAAGCAGTAGAGCTCGTAGCGGAAGCCTTTGATGTAGTTGAGCGAGTCCAGGATGACCACATCGTGGCGACTCAGGCGCCGTTCCACGGCGGCTCGCAGGGCCCCACGCAAAGCCTTCTCACGGGCAGAATCGCCATACACGGTCGCGTCCTCCGCGCCTAGCACCGAAGCGTCATCCACCACGTATACCGTGTGGCCCTCAGCCGCCAATGCCCAGCGAAGCTCTTCTGCACGGCGGCTCTTGCCGCTGCACGGCAGCCCGCAAAACACCACAAGCGGCATGCTACCAGGGAGCGGCCATCTGCAAACTCGCCGCGCCAACTTCCGGGTTGTCTACGTCACCAGTTTTAACCGGAAGTATACACGGGTTTGCACTTCCTGTTTTATGGACTGGCAAGACTTGTTTCTTTAGAAACAGGGGCTCTAAATCAACTAGGTCCAGGTCCAGCTTACTCAGAAAGGAGATGCAGAGACTAGAATGACATCAGGTATTCATGCTAAAAGTTAAAGACTTCTGGAGAATGTGATCTCCCTGGGTCGAAGACTGAGCCCGCCTATTTATTTATTAGTTGTAGATGGACAAATACCCTATTTTGTTTATTTTTATGTGGTGCTGAGGATAGAACCCAGGGCCCTGCACGTGCTAGGCAAGCGCTCTATGACTGAGCCACAACCTCAGCCCCCATTTATTTATTAATGAGCATTAAATACTGCAAAACTGCTAACACTTATATTTAGCATACATAAGGCAATTGATAAATACTTGTTTTGCTCATGTGTGCACTCACACCTACTGGCACTCAGTAAATGTTTATTCTATAATCATTTTAATTATACAACATCTTCAAGGCTGGGGATTTAGAGGTGAACATAAAAGAGTGCCCCTGCAGGAGATCAAGTGTCTGAATAGGAAGAATCAAGCACCTATATTCAGAGTAATAAACGCTATAATGGGTGGGTATAGGTTGGGTTATAAAAGAACAAAAGAGAACATCTGCCCAGAGAAATCATTAAAGACTTTAGGAACTTGAAATTTTTCTCCTGAGCAGAGATGACAGATACAATACAGGATGTCCAGTTAAACTTGAATTTCAGAAATAAACAACTCAAAAAACTTTTTACAGTTGTATAAGTATGTCCCAAAATTGCATGGACCTATTTAATATTATTTATTGTTTGTCTAAAATTCAAACTTAATTGTGTATCCTTTGTTTTTATTTGCTAAATCTGGCAACTCTGCTGCAGAAGATTTGACACTCAGAGCCTGGAATCTGTAGATTTGTTCTAGGAGCAGGAAACACTATAGTTTAGTAGATCTAGAAATGTGAGTTTGTATATCTGAAATTATGAGTGTGTATAATATACGAACACATACTGGAGTGGAATAGATCTTTGTATGGCTCTAGTACACTGTAGAAGAGAAAATGCAAGTCTTGGCTTTCCCACTTATTAGTGCACATAAACTAAACCCACGTGGACTATGAGACTACTTGAGTCTAGTAGGCAGTATGGCATTTTGGTTGAGAGTACAGGCCCTGAAGGAAGTGCCTGGGTCAGAATCAAGGCTCTGCTACTTACTAGCTGTATGATCTTGGGTAAATAAAAAATTACTTAATTGCTCTATGCCTCAGTTTTCTTATCTCTAAAAAGAAGGTAACAAAAAGTACCCCCTCATAGAGTTGTTGTGAGGATCAAGTGAATTAATTAATATAATTTAATATCTGTATATACTAAGCACTTAGTAAGGATTAGCTAGTAGTATTGTTGTTATTATGAGGCAATTATGCAGTTCTTGCTCTGCCTTGGCATAGCCTTTCATCTGAACTTAATGCTATGTTGAAGATTAGAAAGAGTCTTACCACCATAAATAATCTAAAGCATATTTTGTACCTGGCTGCTGCTTCTCTCTTCCCATCTTCTAGTGTTCTCCAGTGAATATGATCCCCAAAACCTGGAACAAAAAAGGCTTATAAACATTCACACAATGAATAAAGGACACACAGACCCAAAAAAGTAGTGTGGCATGTTCATGAGATACCCACAAAAAGGCTTTCCTCTATTAATAGCCTGTGTGGAAGACCCAGCTTCCCTGATAGAAATGAGAGACCATGGATAGTCCCCTAACCCAAGCCTCAGTTTTCATATCTATAAGATGGAAATAACACCACCCAATCAATAGCTTTTAAGGAAATTAAATAATGAAATGAAATGCTTTGTAAACTATCACAGAGTATGCCAGTAATACTGTAAGAATGAATGAACATGGCGTGCACGCCTGCAATCCCAGCAGCTTAGGAGGCTGAGGCAGGAGGAGGACTGCGAGTTCAAAGCCAGCCTCAGCAATGGTGAGGTGCTAAGCAACTCAGTGAGACCCTGGCTCTAAATAAAATACAAAATAGGGCTGGGGATGTGGCTCAGTGGTTAAGTGTCCCCGAGTTCAATCCCCAGTACCAAAAAAAAAAAAAAAAGCAAAACTAGAAAAAGAATGAATGAATGAGAATTTTCCATACAGTAAACATAAAGTAGGTCATAACAAATCATAACTAATTGAAGGTGACATAGCAATACAACTTAGAGTCAGAAGGACATGGGACTCCACTTCCCATTAAGTGTGTGAATTTTTATGAGTGAAGTAAGCTTTCCAAGCCTCAATTTCCATATCTGAAAAATCAAGACAATAATACATACTTCAGAATGTTGGAGGTAAGGACTAAAGAAGGTAATGAATTTTAAGTGATTGTTGTTAGTATTCCCACAATTTAGCAAGAGTGATCTTTTTCAATCACATCACTGACGGATAAGAAGACTTTCATAGGCTTTCCAGGGCTCTTAAGATAAAGGACCAAGGCTGAAAGCAGAAGATTTGAGAATATGGCATCTGCCCACCTCTCCAGTCATTTTCCATACTTTTCCTAAAACCCCATACACAGAAATACTTTTACTTCTTTAAATGCAGCATGTGGGCTGGGGATGTGACTCATAGGCAGAGCAATTGCCTAGCATTCTCAAGGCCCTGGGTTGACTCCCCAGCATCACAGAACCAACCAAMCAAACAAACAAACATAAATAAATGAATAAATAATAACTAAATGCAGCAGGCACTCTCTTCCCTTCAGTATTTCATAATCACTTTACCTCTGCCTTTTCTCCCAGCCTGTCYTCCAGTCTTCAGGTGTAATAAGAGGACAATTCTTACAAATCTCCCCTAACTCCCAAACCAGCCTCTTCTCCTCCCATTGCAGCACTTCCCAGACTGAATTGTAAATATTTATGTATCCATCTCCCTCACTCCAAGGGGAGCTCCCTGAGTGCCTATATCTGTTTCATTCCCATTTCCCTAATATTTAACAGTACACATGAATATAGCAAGTGCTCTATAAAATACAYATGAATATACAAGTGCTCTATAAAATAGTTATTGAATAAACAAATCTTATCTAGGCCAAATCACATAAAAGACTTAATTTTTATATCCAGAAAATGTTAGTGATCATAAAATGTTGTTATTTAGTAATCAGTTTATCTGTGACCAGCATACTACATGTGCTAACTCATTTAAATTTGGCCTTAACAATAACCCACTTTACTTCCCTACATTTCAGTTTTCTCATCATTAAAATAGGCATAAGTGGGCTTGAGAATGAACGTAGCTCAGTGTTAGAGCACTTTCCTAGCCTGTGTGAGGTCCTGGGTTTAATCTTCAGCACTGGGGTAGGGGTTTGGGAAGAAGCATAATAGTTCTGTCTTATCAGATTACTACCAAATATTAAATAAGAAATATAAAATCTCAACAGAGTATTGAACATATTGTACAATCAGTAGGTAGTAGTTTTTGCTATTCTTTACATAAAGTTGAGACTTCTTTTTTTTAATACATTCAAAATACATTTATTTATTTATGTGGTGCTAAGAATCGAACCCAGTGCCTCACACATGCTAGSCAAGTGCTTTACCACCAGGCCACAATCCCAGCCCTAAAATTGAGACTTCTAAGGCTCGGAAGTTATCATCAGCTGTTATTAGATCACATTGCTACTAAATGGCCAATCTGAGATTTAACCTTCAGTCTTCTCTGCCTTTTCAGCTGCTAAATCTGTCTTCCAGATCATTCTTTCCCAGAAATAAATTCAAATCTAATTTTCATCTGTGCTACCTCAAGGGAATAAAAATTCATCCAGATTAGCACATGGAGGCAGTATCCAAATTTACCATCATCACTTTTCATTCCCAACAGCATGGGCTGCTGGCCAAGAGAAAATATCACTTGCCTAGGGCCCAAAGTTTGATCCTGAAGAGCAAATGGCTGAGTGAAATTGGGAGGATGCCCAGGAGAACTGGAAGGTGTCTAATGTGATCACCATCATTCTACCTACAATACCTAAACTAAGATGACTGAATCCTGCTTCAGCATAGTGCCTAACCAACCAACCTGAAAGAATATCCTGCTACAAAAAAGTTTAATCATACATAAACAGACTTTCAGAATGGACTCACTGTAATAATGGAAATCCCACCACAAACATAAACTAAGCTAAAAATCAGATGAGAAACAGTGAACAACCAGTAAATGGTAAGGCTGCACTGAAAGTAAATATTCATTATAACATGGCAAATGGAGAATCTGAGACTCCCATATTAACCCAATCCTCAAAAAATATGGCTAGAGTGATTCCCATCATTAGTACTCTCTGGTAGATGAATCAAATGCTGAACCTTTCTGGAGGGAAGCATTCCCTACTTTATCCTCTAGGACAGTCAACATTTTATTAAAAAAAAACAATAGCCATTATGGGCTCACAATCATAGATCAATAAAGATATAAGAAAACAAGTCAACACAAGTAAGAGTAGAAGCAAGAGTGAGACTTCGAAGACTTCAGCTATCAGGATTATCAGCCACAAAATACAAAAATAGGAATATATGAAATGTTAGAGAAATACATGGAATCACAGAAACAGGCATGCACAAACACACATACACACACATAAATAGACAAATTTGTGATGGTACCAAATAGAATCTGTAGAAATAACCCAAAGGCTACATACTATATAATTCCAATTACATAACATTCTGTAAGAGTCAAAACTATGAAGATAACAAAAAGATCAGGGTTGTCAGGGTTCATTCTCTCATGGGGGAGAGGAAAAAAAATAAGTGGAGCATAGGATATTTTTTAATGATTTTAAACTATTCTATGTGATACTGTAATGTCAGATACATGTTATTATGGCCTGAATTATGCACCCCGAAAATAATTCATATTCTAACCTCCAGTATTTTAGAACGACTGTTTTTGAAGAAACAGTTTTAAAAGAGGCGATTAAGTTAAAATGAGATCATTAGGATGGACTCCAGCTCTAATTCTTATAAGAAGAGATTAGGACACAGATGTAAACTGGAGGAAGATCATGTGAAAACACAGAGAAGAAAGTCATCTGCAAAAAGAAATCAACCCTACTGACACCTTGACCTTGGACTTGTACTCTTCAGAACCCTTAAGAAAATAAAGTTCTATTGTTTAAGCCACCTAGTTTGTACAAAACAGCCAGGCATGGTGGTGCACATCCTAATCCCAGAGRCTCAGGAGGCTGACACAAAAGTATTGCAAGTTCAAGGCCAGCCTCTGTAATTTAGAGAGACCCTGTCTCAAAAAAAAATAGAAAAGAGGTATAGATGTAGCTCAGTGGTATAGCACTCTAGGTTCAATCCCTAGTACTGCAACAAAACAAAATCCACAGAACATAAAATAGCAAGAGTGGACCCTAATGTAAACTGGGGATTTTAGTTAATAATAATCTATATTGGATTATCAGCTGTAAAAAATGTACCATATTAACACAAAATGTTAACAAGGAAAGATGGGGAGAAAGAAGAGAAAGGGCACATGTGGGTATTTTCTGCTCAGTTTTCTGCAGAGATAAAATTGCTTGAAATATAAAGTCTACCAATTTTTCAAAAATATAATGGATAGAGTAAAACGCAAATTAGAGACAGGTGGAAAAATATATTAGAAGTTATCCAGGATGCAGACCAGAGCCATGAAGACAGACAATGTTAAGAGAGGCCAAGAATACAGAGATTGATTTAAGTCTAGCATACACAATTATTTAAGGTGGTGAAACTGTAGAATGACAAAACCATTGAGTAAGAAGATATTAAAGGGGCTGGGGATGTGGCTCAAGCGGTAGCGCGCTCGCCTGGAATGCGTGCGGCCCGGGTTCGATCCTCAGCACCACATACCAACAAAGATGTTGTGTCCGCCCAGAACTAAAAAATAAATAAATAAATAAATATTAAAAATTCTCTCTCTCTCTCTCTCTCTCCTCTCTCACTAAAAAAAAAAAAAAAAAAAAAAAAAAAAAAAAAAAAAAAAAAAAAGATATTAAAAACAAAGAGAGCCAGGCTTTGTGGTGCATGCCTGCAATCCCAGCAGCTCGATAGGCTGAGGCAGAAGGATCACATATTCGAGGCCAGCCTCAGCAATTTAGTGAGACCCTGTCTCAAAAAATAAAAGCACCACTGGTTTAAATCTCTAGTACCTAAATAAACAACAGAAAAATGACATATTTCCTACAAAAGATCAATAATTATGCTATTATATTGATAGGAACAATAGAAATCAAAAGAGAGCAGAGTATCATCTTGAAATGCTAAAAGAAAATAACTAAACCTAGAATTATATACTCTAAAAAAACTATTTTTCAAGCACAAGGACAAAACAGACATGTTTAGATAAACTGAGAGGGTTTTTTTTCCTCCACCATCAGGTATTCACCACTCATTATTATTTCAATAAATAAGTATTTATTCAACAGGATCATATAATAGTCAAGAGCATGGACTCTGGACCCTGACTCCCGGGGTTTGGATCTTGGCTTTGCTGCTTACTAGTCATATGACTTTGGGTATGTTAGGTAATTTTCCCATACTATACAATGTTTCCTCAGC